CTCTAGATCAAAGGCCTCAGGGTCTTAGCACTGGTAGGGATGGGCTTATCAACCAGAAGCCTGTGCAGAAAGGTAGGACATGTTCATCATGAAGAGGACCGTGGAAGAGGGAGCCAAGTGGTGAATGAGCAAATCTAGGAACAAAAGGAAATTCCTGTGCCTGTCTTGAGAGGAGTCTCCCAGTGGATTCTCTGATGTCCCACAAAAAGTGAGCTTAGACTTCAAGCTTCAGATGCACAGAGAAAAGAGGTGATTGTGCAAGCCTGGTTGTTAGAAAATCAGGCTGGAAAGGAACGATGGGAGTGGAGGTAGAAGGCTAAAGTGAGACAGCAAAGAACGTGAGTGATCTGCTCTGTAGAGACTGACTGTAGAGCCCATTCCAAGCCTCAGATTGACCACCCAGTGCTGCCAGGAGAGCCTAGAGCCCAGCTAATCCCTATTCCTTACTACCACAGCAACAATGTGCAGCTGCCTGCTGAAGTCCAACAGTCCCTGGCTGTGGAAGCAGAGGCCCAGAGACAGGCCAAAGTGCGGGTATGACAACCCTGAATACCTCCCATCTCCTTCCCAAGCATCCTTCCTTCCTTTCCCACCCCTGGTTTGAGGTCCCTGAGACAATTCGCATTAAGGTACGGCTCTAGGAAGATATGTCTCTTTAATTTCTGGTCAAAGGACTATGCCTAGCAAGGAGAGCTGCACCAAGAGTCTGGGGCAGCCCAGTGGAGTGCCAGATTTGGTATCTGGCCTACAGGTAAGACAGAAAGACACACAGAGGACTCTGGGGTTATCCCCATGCCCACAGTGATCCCCATGGGGGTCTCTCCATCCTCAGGGTTTCACTCTTCTCTAGGAGCTCAGTGCATGGCTATCACCACTGTCATGTACCCTGCACCTTGCTCAGATCAGGCTGGTCTCCATCCATTGCACTGAGCTGCTCAAGAGCCTGGATAAGGTTAATGTCCAGCACCCCTCTCACAAGCCTGGCCTGAGAGCTGTCCTCTCCCATGCTTTTGCAGCAAGAATATGCCCAATTGTGAGCCACAATGGGCCTAATAAAAACAAGTTAGACATGAGGTCTAGTACATGC